TTTTTATAGATATAAAAATATAGATATGTATTGATAAGTGATCAGAATTATAATATTTCTGACTGTCTGAGGCAAAATTTCCCCAAATCGAATTAAATCGAATTGTGGATCGAATCGATTCTAGAAATCAGTGACGACACCCAGCCCTACTTATCATGTTGTTGCACTTTATTAAAAGCACCATGAACACTACAGAGGGCTGAGCATTGTTAAAATATTGATTTAGCCATAATCTGCAGCCTTTTCTTCTTCCACTATGAAGCGTTTCTGGATGTTTGCACTTTGACAGACACACTCTGCTCAGTGTTTCACAGAGAGAGAGAGAAAACAGCTCTCCGAGGTATTTGTGAGCTCCGTGCTTTAAATAACCAGATATTGTCTGATGACTGTGGGACAATCTGTGCAGGTACCTGCGCCACAGCTGAGGACCTGTTACCTACAAATGGACCCGTTGGTTTGGGGAAGTCCCTGTACGGCCGGCCCAGCAGCACTGGGTCGGGTGCAGCGGTGGTCAGTGAGGAGCAGATGATTCGTCCCATCAAGGCCTTCACTGCCGAGTTTGTCCGGCAGATGCTGATGGGTATGCCCAGCCAAGCCCTCAGCCTGGCCCTCTGCAGCACCCTCTCTGCCCTCGGTGTGGACATCGTCGCTCAGGTGGAAGCAAAAGACTTTGGTGCAGAGAGCAAGGTATGATCTGTGTGGAAGTATGTGGTGTTCAGTATCTTCAGTATCTCTGTTCTCTCAACGTTCTTTTCAACCTTTTTCACGTTCTCCATGTCAACGTTAAAAAAGAGTTCATTATTGAATTTTTCCATCTTAAAGGAGTCTTTAGAAATGCTGAGCACTTGTTGGCTGCATTCGTTCAGGTTGGTTGATCTGCTGCCCGTCTTGGTCAGGTGGTCCTTACTCAGCCTGTTTAAAAATAAGTGTCTCAGCTGCAGAGCTGCAGTAATCAGTGGGTTTGAGTTAATAAGCTGCTCTTTCAAAGCCTCCCCCAGACTGTCGGACAGTCGTTGCCCTTTCTGGATCTCATACTCATGTCTCCTGTTCCAAATATTTTTCATGTTGCAA